GGAGGGATTGCTATGAGTAGGGATCCACTTGATGGCAGTGAGTTAGTTTTTATTCTTCATCCAACTACTCAAACTATGTGAAAAATTTGCAAACTTGTTTAATAATGAATGTTTTGTGAAGTTTTTTTTTTTTTTTTTTTTAATGTGTTTGTTTCAAAGCAAGCACCTAAAATATGATCCATTCCCTTCTGTTCAGTTCTTTGGTTGAAAGTACATCGTTTTATCATGTAACATTTAAACAAATATTTTATATTGCTCTCTAATCATGGATGATTTTTAACAATGTAGAAAGTCAGAATAAGAAGTATGACCTATATTTTGGTGCTAAAGAAGTAAGTTACGGAAAACATGTTAATAACAAAGACCAGGTGTCTAGGGATTGTGATACAGACGTATGATTGTTGCCTAATGGTATACATGTGTGTCATGTGTCAAATGTAAAACCAACATTTCCCTTGCTGAGTCTATAATCCTTTGTTATTTTTATTGCTTTTTGTGTGATTATGTAATACAGCATCTTAAAATTAAAGGAATTTTTTTTTCTTTTTCTTATTTTGAAACTTTTAATATCTTAGGTTAAAATTAATTGACTGAGTTATAAAATAGGCTATTTCACTCTTCCTTTTGTAACAGCATGGCTTAATAAAAAGTGCTTTGGATCTCAATGAGTGTGTAGCAGTGGAGTTAATGATGAAATGGCATAGTTTATGGTTTTACCTTCTAATTATTGAAGACAAATGTTTAATCCTGAACCTATTTTTAATATAGCACATCCCTGTTCTGCCTCTAGTTTTTTTAATATATTTGCAGAGAATATACATTTTAAAATTAATTACATGAATTATTCCAGTGTTTCTTATGTAATACTTCTTACTGTCTAATTGCTTATTTTACCTATATGATAAGCATAGACTATAGAGAAAAGTTATTATCCCACTTGATAAAATAGAGAGACGCTTAGTGACTTGATCAAAGACTCACAGCTACTTAGCACTAAAGCCAGTAAAAGTACTCTATTCTCATTCTCTATTACATCATTGGCTTTTGTAAAAAAATTTTAGTTAGGCTTAAAAATAAAATTGCTAGCCATTTTGGTCTAGAGTGATTATTAACACATGGTTGCATTTGGGTTGTTTAAAGAAAATAGAAAGCTCTCCAATTTTGTGTTGTTGTTGTTGTTGTTGTTGTTGTTATATGCGGTCGAGTAAGATCTGACTCATAGCGACCCCTCCTTGGGTTTCCTAGGTGGTATCACTACGGAAGTAGATTACCCAACCTTTCTTCCAAGGAGTGGCTGCCACTTACTTTAGTCCTGGAAAAGTTAGCATTTTTTATAAATAAATGAATAACCTTTCAGAGTGCAAAAAAAGCCAGTCTTTCAACACCTCCTTAGAGCGCCCTTACGCATAAAAATAAAACAGATGCTTCTTGGCTAAATTCAAAGTAGCAAGGACCTCTGGTAGCACAGTAGCTAAAGCAGTCAGTCAGCTGCTAACTGAAAGGTTGGTGAACCTACCAGGGGTTCTGCAGGAGAAAGGTGTACCAGTCTGCTTCCATAAAGATTACAGCCTTGGAAAGCCTTTGGCAGTTCTGCTCTTGTTATATGGGTCAGTACTAGTTGGAACTGACTCCTTGGATTTGGTTTGGTTTGACAGACCTATAGGATATCTCCCAACACTGTAGCTCCATATGCAAATTGTTAGTCAAGTAACTGTGAAAACTTTTGAGCTCTGGTGGTATAGTGGTAAGGCATTTGGCTACTGTCCAAAAGGTTGGTAGTTTGAACCAACTACCTGCTCCACAGAAGAAAGATGGAGCAATCTGTTTCCATAAAGATTTACAGCCTTGGAAACCCAGTGGGGGTCACTATGAGACAGAATCTACTCAATGGGAGTGAGTCTGGTTATTTTTGAGAACCAGATGTGTAAGAAACACTTCAGAATTTTTGCATGCATCAATGACTGCATTGTATTTGCTTGATTTTATAATTTTGTTAATTAAAAAATGTAACATTAATCTCATCACATATTTTAAAAGGAAAAAATGAAAGACACTACTAAAATTTAGAAACGTGAATTTTAAATATTGAAATGTACTTTTTCAGAAGGCTGGCAGTTCAAACCCAGCAGCCAGTCCTTGGAAGGAAGGTTGGGCAATCTACTTCCGTAGTGATACTGCCTTGGAAAGCCAAGGAGGGGTCGCTGTGAGTTGGGGCCGACTCGATGGAAATGAGTTTGGTTTTTTTGACCACCTTTTAATTATAGCTTTTATAATGTGATTCTTTAAGCCTTCCTAAATTACATCTTTTATCTTTATTTTTAATCTAGAGCTTCTGTCTTTGAATCCATTCATCTGCCATTATCTCATCTTCCATTTTTTTCCACCTATTTAAACATGACTGTGTTGTTTCCTCAGAATGATCAATTCCCATTAAAATTTTGTTACCATTCCTCAAGTGAGAAGCCAACTAAGGAAAAGTTGTGTGGATAAATAGTAATGATGTTGCTGACCACCCAGATTTGTTATGGATGAGTGAAAAATGAAATGTTATGGGTAGGACCTTTTGCATATAACATGCATGGCACACATAGGAAACTAACACACAGGGAGGCGTGGTTTGCAAAAAACAGTGTAAGAGAAATCCCAGAATATTCATGTGGGGAAAATAAGTAGAAAAAGCAATATGTTTTAAAATTATGGATATAGCCAGAGGACAATTGTATCTTTTATGAGTTTTGTCTTGACTATGAATAATTTCATTGTGTTTCTTTGCTTTGTTTTGAGGATGAAATCTTATCCTAAGTTGAAAAAAAACCAAAAACCGAACCCACTGCCATTGAGTCAGATCCGACTCATAGCAACCCCTCCTTGAGTTTCCGAGGTAGTATCACTATGGAAATAGATTCCCCAACCGTCCTTCCCAGGAGTGGCTGGTGGGTTTGAACCACCAGCCTTCTGGTTAGCAGTCTAATGCCTTAGTCACTATGCCACCAGAACTCCTATCCTAAGTTAACTAGTAGCATTTCCTTCATAGTTTTTCCATCAGCTTCTTGCTGTATCACTGGAGGAATGTGGAAATTTACTGCATTATTAGCTAATTTTGTTGGTTTTTTTTTTTGTTGTTGTTATATGCCATCGAGTCAGACCAGACTCATAGAGACCCCTCCTTGGGTTTCCGAGGCAGTATCACTACAGAAGTAGATTACCCGTCTTCTTTCCAAGGAGTGGCTGATGGGTTTGACCTGCCAGTCTTCTGGTTAGCAGTCAAGTGCCTTAGGCACTACACTACCAGAGCTCCCATTAGCTAGCTAGTGAACTCAAAAGTCAAAAACCTTGTGATTCACTATAAGATTTTCTTGAGTACTTGACTGCAGAGATCAAAAGGAGGTAATTCATTTTTTATTTTTAATTTGCTATCTTGATTTGTGTTTTATGCATTTTATTGTATTGATTTTAGCTGTATTACCCCCAGAGAAAATCATTACTTAATCCCTTTCACTTAATTTTTGAAATATGGTAAAAGTGAAATGGGCTATGTTTTTACTACTATAAAACATTAAACAGTTTGTGATATGTTTGTTTTATATGGGAAAAGGACTGAAAAGAGTCACTTGAGAATTTTAGCCAGACTTTTAGATTTGTATTTGAGACCTAATTTTTTTTGGATATTGGATAGTGAAATATTATTAGGGTAGAAGTATCATATTCTACTTGGTATGATGTTTGTTGGTTAATCTGGGCTATGTTCCTAGCTCCAAATAGAAATATTAATTTCTCTTAGTCAGGTTTCTCATCCATCCTCTATTTGAATTTCCCACTTGCCTTTCTTAATTCTTTCTTGACACTTTGCCAAGTCAATTAGAAAATGTCTCACATGTACTTTAAACTTTATGAAAAGAGATATTGTAAAATGCCTCAGTTATTAAAATAAATATAACCAATTTGTGATTCTTCATGGAAATCTTTAATCCCACCACAGCTTCCCTGGCTGTTTAGTACATGTCTTGTCAGGGCAAACCTGATCAGGGAAAGTTCATCTCATTTCTAGCTAATGTGTACTCAGAAAATGCAGTGATTCTGATTAGCCTATAACTAAACCAAATAATAAAACAAAACTAAAACCAAACCATTTACCGTTGAGTCAGTTCTGACTCATATGACCCTACAGGACAGAGTGAAACTGCCCCATAGGATTTCCAAGTCTGTTATAGTTACAGAAGCAATCTGCCACATTTTTCTCCCACAGAGTAGCTGGTGGGTTTGAACTGCCAACCTTTTGGTTAGCTACAGAGTGCTTTAACCACTATGCTACCAGGGCTCCATTTAATAAGGCACACTGACTCCAAAACACAGTATTTCCCAGGCCCCAAGACACATTTAAAGAACATATCCCTGGTTTTTGATTATCCATTCCACTTCCCTTAGTATAAGCATCGGTAGTTGTGTTTTAAGGATAGATTTTTAAGGTTGAATCTGTTAATGTCAATTCTATAATCAAAATATTGTCCTGTACTTACAACAGTTTAAAGAATTATTACAGGAAATCCATCTATTATTTCTATACTAAATCTGTCAATGTGGTGATTAAATTTAATGTTTGTTAAATATTTTCAAGTAATCTGTCAAATGTGAACATTTATTGGTATAAAAGTAGGAGGTAGCAGTGACAGAGTTATTTTTCTGGTATTATGCAGATTTTTCAGATTTGGGTAGTTGGGTCTTGAAAAATAGGCACATTTTCTTTCTGACCTTTGATTTGGGCCACACGCATGGGATTGGTATTTTTGGAGCAAGTGAAAGCTTTAATACTTAACACTAGCCTTGGTGAAATTTCTGGGACATGATTGTTGTTAAGAAGCAAGTGGAAGCATTGAACTTAGAGTTGCTTCACTCCCCATGACCTCTGGGTTATGAATGTTATTGCTGGTTATGGGCAAGCATCTTTTCACAGCTGACTCATGACAATTTATATTCTTCTTTTTTCTTTTTTAATTCCACAGCTGTTGTAAACTTGGACAATTCTGTGGTTGACCTGGAGACCCTTCAAGCTCTCTATGAGAATGTGAGTATTAGAAGGAGTTATTATGTATATAATATACACACAACACATATATGTGTTCACGTTTTTTTGTTTTAATGACTTTTAAGGAAACTTCATCTGGGTGTGCTAAATTCAGCCATACAAAAAAAAAAATGTCATTGCCATTGAGTGGATTCTGACTCATTGCGACCCCCCGTGGGTTTCTGAGGTGGTAAATCTTTAATAAAGTAGATTGCCCAATTTTCCTTTCATGGAATGGCTGGTGGGTTTGAATCGCCAAACTTCTGGTTAGCAGTCAAATGCCCTAGGCACTATGCTACCAGAGCTCCTTATGAATTTAAGAATAGGTTTATTAAAATATTGTCTAGGAATATCTTTGATGAATGTGTGGTGTCATAGTTTTAAAGAATGATTTAAAACATTGCATATGAGGTCACCTCACCGTTCCTCTTTTGCAATAATAATAATAGTCAGTACTTATGTATAGACTCAGTTGAGCTGAGCATTGTTTTATTTATTTCATATCTGCATTAATTGAATATTCATATGAAGAGTACTGCTGTTGTTGTTGTTGTTATGTGCCGTCGAGTCGGCCCCGACTCATAGCGACACCTCCTTGGGTTTCTGAGGCAGTATCACTACGGAAGTAGGATTGCCCAACCTTCCTTCCGAGGAGTGGCTGGTGGGTTTGAACCACCAGCCTTCTGGTTAGCAGTCAAGTGCTTTAGCCACTATGCTACCAGAGCTCCTACTATGCTACCAGAGCTCCTACTGCTAGGTACTATTATTTAACCCCATTTTATAGATGAAGAACTTTAGTCATAAAGAGAGATTAAATGACTGCCCAGAGTCACATAACTAGTGTAATGGTGGAACTGAGATTTCATTCATTCCATCTCCAGTTTTTATGCTACCACAGTTCACCTTACTTCAAGTGGCAAGACATTCAGCTTTTATTCTTTTTTTTTTAATTTTATTTTTTGTGATTTGCATGAAAGTTTACAGAGCAAATTCACTTTCCCTACAGCAGCTCACATACACTTTGTCTCATGACATTGACTACAATTTACCACACTGCAACAGCTTCTCTCCCACTTCCTGCCCATAGTTACCTCTTCCATGTATCCTTCCTCCATGCACTCCTGCTCCCTGAGCCATCTTCCTGTGCATACACAGCTTTTCTATTCTCCCATGATTAATCTCTCCAAAGAGTGTATCTACTTAGTGTAAATGTTCACCTCTTATGCCTGTCTTTTGTTTGGCTGGAAGCTACAGGAATGGGTCCAATTCCAAACTTGAAGGGCAGGTAGGGGCTATAGTCTCAGTGGTTCCATCAGGCTTTATCAGACCAGCAAACCTGGTCCCTTTTTTTTTCAAATAATTTTGAGTTTTGTTCCACATTGTTCACCCTTTCTATCCAGGATCTCCTATATAGATCCCCCTCTGCGTGGTTGACAGTGGTAGCTGGGCACCATCTAGTTCTTCTGACCCCATAGTCAGATAGGCTGAAGATCGCATGGTGTACCAGTCACTTAGATTAATTGTTTCCATGAATCTTTGGTTTCAGCTTTTATTCTACATCCTACTTTTTCTTCACAATGTGGTAGAAAAGGTAGGTATCAGAGGAGAATGAACATACTATGTCGTAGTCTTTGGAAATGTGCAATATGTGTGGTATATTAGATGATTTTAGGTGGCATCAAATAACATTGATTCATGTAGTAAGAAAGCAATTCTCTTTCAGTTCTTTTGATTATGTCAAGGAAAAAAAATCTCTCTGTGATCTTATTTTTGTCTCTAGTATCTTTGAGTTCTTTTTCATTTTATTTCCTGATTGTCTGTAATCTGACTGTATTGAAGTCTCTGTGCAGTTCAGGAAGGGAGCTCTGGTGATGCAATGGTTAAGCACTCAGCTGTTAACTAAAAGGGTGACAATTTGAAGCCATCAGCTGCTGCATAGGAGAAAGATGATGCAGTCTTCTTCTATAAAAGCTACAGCCTTGGAAACCCTCTAGGGAAATTCTACTCTGGTCTATAGAGTGACTATGAGTTGAAATCAACTCAATCTCAATGTTTTGTTTTGTTTTGTTTTTTTGGTGAGAGGTGGTGCTCATTGGGACATGGTCTTAGTTGCTCCTTAGACTTTCTGTCCCAGGTCAAAAAACTCTTGGCTCTGGAAGACACACATGGTGGACAGAATGTAAACACTCTTCCTGAGCACTCTTCAGGGGCTTTATATTCAATCTACTTGTTCATACTTGCATCTAATACTTCCTAAATATTTTTGTGTGTGTTCTCCCTTGTAAGATTCCTTTCTTTGTACAAAAAAAATGTCTTTCAATGTGCATTCCCCAGTATCTATATATCTAAACATAGAATTGGTGTCCAGTGAGCAAAGTGACCATATATATTGAGTCAGATTGAATCATCAACAAGGACTTAGAGAGAAGGTTTGAATATTATGTAGCTTTCACTACATTGTAAAGGAACTCTGACGGTGTAGTGGTTAAGGCATTTGGCTGGTAACTGAAAGGTCAGTAGTTCAAACCCACTGGCTGCTCTACAGAGGAAAAATGAGACTATCTGCTTCCTTAAAAATTTATAGCCTTGGAAACCCAATGGGGATCACTATGAGTTGGAGTCAACTGGATGGCAGGGAGTTTGGTTTGGGGGTTTTTCACTACATTGTGGATGTTATTAATTGAATTATGTCCTCCAAAAATATGTGTTGTAAATCCTAACCTCTCCTGTGATTATTATCCTGTTTGGGAATGAGTTGTCTTTGTTTTGTTAGTGAAGCAGCATTAGTGTAGGGTGTATCTTGTGTCGATCTCTTTTGAGATATAAAAGAGATTAAGCAAGCAAGAGAAAGAAGCAGACATGAGGGATGAGTGATGCTAAGCCACATGAAGATTTCTCCAAGAAAAGAAAAGGACTATCCCTGGAAGCAGCTCAGAGATCAGCAGAAGTGTTGGAAGCAGGGCCTCCTCAGTTTCAAGGAGTGGGGCCCTAGTCTCCTGGATCTCAAAGGAGGTTGGACACAGACTCCTAGGTTTCAAAGAATTGGATTTTTACCAACTTAGTTCCAGAGTGTGAGACTGCCCTTAAGGTGGGCTGGGTGATGATGCTGCCACACAAAAGAGGAAGCAGGGCTGCTATATCCAAAGGGCAGAAGAACAGGGCCTGCTGGGGCCAAGAAGGTGGGGTTGCCACTCAGATAGACTAGGAGAATGGGAGCACCCAAAGCCAACAGAGCAGAGTTGCCTTCTGCTGGAAGGAGAAGCTGAAGCCCAGAGCACTAGGGCCTCCACCCAGAACTGAGAGTGTATGACCAACACTGAAGGTGTGTGTTAAAGCATCCAGCTTCTAACCAAAAAGTCAGAGGTTCAAACTCACCAGCTGCTCCATAGGAGAAAGATGAAGCAATCTGCTTCTGTGAAGATTTACAGCCTTGGAAACCCTATGCAGCAGTTCTCCTTTGTCCTATAGGTTCATTATGAGTTGGAACCGACTCAATAGCAATGGGTTTGGTTGGTTTTGGAATGATTTAAGGGATGTATGTGTGTGTGTGTGTGTGTGTGTCTATGTATTGATGTGTAGAAAAAAAACAAAACTCATTGTTGTCAAGTCATTTCTGAATCACAGCAACCCCTCCTTGGGTTTCCAAGGTGACATCTCTACAGAAGTTGTTGTTGTTGTTATGTGCCATCGAGTCAGACCCGACTCATAGTGACCCCTCCTTGGGTTTC